TCCTCTCCCCCTTCCTCTTCACCCTCTACACCAGAGTTCAGCCACTGCACAGAGACCTGCATCTTCAGAAGTTTTGATGGCTCTGCGGTGGTTGGATGCATCATCAGGGATGATGAAACCGTACTGGGTTGTGGTCGACTCCTTTGTTACGTGGTGTGAGAAGAATCATCCGCAGCTTAACATGGCAAAGACCAAGAAATTGGTTGTGGATTTCAGGAAGACCAGGAAACACTTGACCTCTGTTTCAATCCAGGGGCTCAATGTTGACATTGTGGAGGACTATAAATACCTTGGAGTACACATTGACAATAAACTGGACTGGGCTAAAAACACCACAGCATTTTACAGGAAGGGCCAGAGTTGTCTCTATTTTTGAGGCGACTGAGGTTCTTCAACATCTGCTGGACAATGCTAAGGATTTTCTATGAGTCTGTTGTGGCCAGTGCGATCCTCTATGCCGTGATGACGTAGGCGCATGCATGTGTGCCCTGGTCACAGCTCTTTCAGCATGGTCAGAGGAGAGGTGATCTAGCAGGCGCGCAACACACACAGCTCACAGCTCTGTATTTCAATTTATTGCAGATGTTGCAGCGACTTACAGTAAAGAGCCCAGAGATCCAGTGCTGTCTCCTCCCTCTTATTTATATGTCAGAACACAACGCATCGACAGGCGTAACACACACACAAAAGGGTTACCTCAGCATATAGAGTTCTCCAGTAAAAAGGATATCTATTGCCCAGTCATAGTTATACACTGAAGTTTCATTTGAGCAGACTAGCTGACATGTGGGTGCCCTCTAAGGGCCAAGAAATATATTTATTTTTACATGTTTGGCTGCTACGTGATCATGTGGAAAGGGTAAAATTATATTCTTGTTAACAATATTAAATTTCAAGACTATTATTATACAGCGGCATGAATGTAACTAAAGAATCCTACTTTGATAAAAGTTAGAGAATGTATTTGAATAAAAGCTACGTTTTTCACTTGTTTCAGAAACAGCATTGTCTTTTGTTTGCTCAAAATGCATTGTGTGGAAATTAGCACACTAGCAAAGACTGTGACAAGGACTGCTACAGTTTAGATAACGTAGGCCAAATTAAGCAATCACTTTGCATCAAACTGAATCTCTTTTATGCTTAATCAAAGGCATTTTGATAAATGCACATTAAACATCATGGGAGACAGAGTAATTTAATTAGATCCAAAGATCTCTGAACAGGTATATGTACAAAATAACTACATTTCCTCATGACTTCTAAAGCCAAAGAAATGCACTTGAAATTTTTAATTGGCACGTATCCTCGCAGTGACTTTTTTGAACAGACTGAAACTTCTGCTCACTTATTTTTCAAATGTATGTATGTAGAACCTATAAGGTACATGACTGGCTTCTCCTATTGAAGCCATCATTAAAAAGGACATTATTTACAGATTCATTATGAACAATAGTAAATATGACTTTATGGTGAATGTTATTCAACATATGAAAGTGAAACCAATATTTCGAGGATTTCATAACAATTTCCATTCGTTTTTCAAACCCGTTACAGTTATGAAAACAACAACAATTATATTAATATAAAGATAAAACTAAGAAGCTTACCATGTACATACCCATCAAAGGTTTCTCCACCAAACAATAAGTGATGCTTTGCTTGGGGATAAAATAATTATTATCCCGCACTGTTGTAGTAATAATAATAATAACTATTATTATTATCATCATCATTTTTTTAAAAGGTCAATTCCATTCATAAAGAAAAGGAAAACCACAAATTACTTACCGTTAATTGAAAAAAATGAAAACAAAATTGAAAATTAAAGGGAAGGCTTTAATCTTTTAATTTAAAAATATTTCAGGTTTCATCTCATCTTTTATTAAAAATGAAATTGCTGACTGTCATCACCTATAATTTAAATTCTTGGCACCACGAATGGTAAATAAGCATCTTGACAGATGACATGCTCTTTGTCTCCCACTCATTTTATTCTTTTTCTAGCAGTACGTTGGTCTTTTTTCATAACATTTTGATGTCCAACCTTTTTTAAAACAAACCTTTGTTGTGCTCAGGGTCCTGAGCTTTCACATTGTGTAAAATAACTTTGTTTTGTTTTTTAATCAAATGCCTTTTTTGGGGGGGTTAGGTAGCTAAATTGGCTTGCCTACAGAAAAATTCATTACTTTACTTTATATTTATCAAAGGCTGAGGAAGACACAGGACTTAAATACAGCAGTCAGAGACAGGCTTAAGGTAAAACTCATAAAATGACCTTTTATTAGCATGTCAAAGTCCAGAAACGAAAACCACAGAAACACATGTAAGTAAGCCAACACAATGACAAAGAGAATCTAAGACTATACATGCATTAGAAACACATGGGTGTATGAAGCACACCTTAAACTTACCAAGGACAAAACATAAGAGACAAGAGACTCACAAAATAAAACAGGAAGCAACATAACAGGAAACAAAGACTTAACAACAAAATACAAGAAAACAGTGGATAGCAGAAATCAGCTCACATGGAATCAAATATAAGGTCTTTACCTCTAACAGGAACTAGGATTCCTAAAAATCAACAACTAAAAATTTTATAATGCTCGTGGAAAAACATCATTGCACTCTATAATGGACAATCAGTTCTGACCAAATGGAGTTTGGTTAGATGCTGATTGCCAATTTACTTCAGTAACTGAACTTAAGGTTAGCCATGAAACTGAAAGCTTAAGGAAAATATCGAACAAAAACATCCACTAAAAAAAAAAAGAAAAAACAATCTCAATGGGTCCAAACTTTCAGTGCACAATATCCCATCAGGTGTATTTGGATAAAATACCAAAAGAAAAAAAACAATTCTTCAGACAATTCTTTTGGGGCTCTTATTTCACCCCAATTCCAACCAAAAGTGCCACCAAAAAGCAAATGTTTCCCAGAAAGAACAGACCGATCAGCAGACCATCAATTTTTACCTAACAAAACAATGTAATTCAATTAAAAGATCATTGCAGTGTTATGGTGATTAATTGTTAATTGCTTTTATATTTCTTTCAACTTACCGATTCTGATTCCACTTCTACAGTAGCACTGCCTGAAATCCAGAGCAGAAACAACAGTTAAAAAGGGCACAACCAACCCCCAGAGTGTTTCCTCATCTGAATCTTATTTTTCAGTTTACTTCAGATTAGTTCTGGCTTGTTTTTAATTATTTGATTTATACTGGTAGATTAAGTTATTTGATTTCAGCTTTCATTTCATTTTAAATTTGTTTACATATTCATTTACATATGATTTAAACAGTTTAAAATCATAAAATATGTGATTACATTTCTTTTAATAATATTAATAATAATAATATTAATAATAATAATATTAATAATGCATTAACAATTACATTAACCATTTAGCCATATACACACTCCCAGTTTCTTTTGGCCTATACTAGACTAACAAACAGTTCAATGGCCAAGTAAAGGCCTGTTCCCTTTTTCATGTCATGAAATAATGAAACTTTTTAAGTGTAGTTTTAAATATGACTGAAAAAGAGACATTACTGTAAGGGAGGGAGGCCAATATTGGACTGAAAACTAAAATAGAAAAGACTTAAGAGAGGAACCAAATCTGGAATACTCCTAGAAAGAATGAATGTCCCTCAGAGGAGCATGTTTTGAGAGGGGTTACACTATAGAACAGTAAGGTTGATTAGACTTTGTTAGAAAACTTTTCAGGAAAAGTTCTGAAAAAAAAAAAGAGAAAAAAGATTTTTTGCACTAGAATGATGAGATGAGGAGGAGAAAAAACCTTTAACCTTTACATACACTTTTCTAAGTGATGATTACTTATAATGAGGAAAAACAAAGATTTACCTTTCTCCTTAGATTTCCCATTATGAACCTCCAACATGATGTAAAAGAGAGCTTCCCAGGCAAGAAAGCCACCCATGACTTTCATTAACCATCCATCACTGCTGTCAATCAAGTTCAGGCCTGTAAATATGGCTGCCACTGTGTAACACAAAGAAACAAATATTTAAGACCAACAGCACGGGTGACGGTGTGTCTGCTTTGGAAAATAAATTAGAATTTATAAAAGAGTGCAGAACAGCATGAAGTAAAACAAAGGCTTACCGGCTAAAGATTTTATTATCACTGCATTCAAAAAATGTGATGTGTTGAATAGATACCGCCTGTCAAACAAAAGAGAATAAATATGAAAACATAAACTGCTGAAGTCAGTGTAAGAAAGAAAGGACAGCACATATCATTTTCTTGACAGAAGCAGCGGTGGTGGACAAACACACAGTGAAAAGAGATCTGTGAAGAAGATTCAGTGCATCACCCGGCATCCTAAGCTTATTGCATCATAACCAGCGGATGGTTCTGGGTCACTTGATTAAGCCCCAAGTAAAAGCTATAACAAAACAGAAAATTTTAGGCTTAAAATTAAAAGTAGAGAGGGTTGCTGTTTCTGAGAGCTGGTTTCATGGTAGAGGGGGCTGAAAGCAGCAGCCTCCTATACCTACTTTTGAAACTCTAGGAAAAACAGCCAGTCTGACAGCAAAGTGTTCTGTTAGGATAATAAGGTACTGCAAGGTCTTGTAGATATGAGATATGAGTGTTTCCATTGAGAAAAAAGTTTTGTTTCCCTTTGGAGAAATGACTTCATCCATGGATATGTATGCTTATTTAGTATTTTGGGCGGATGGTTATATTGGTGACACTGGGAGATTGGCTGAACTGTTCAGTGTTCAATCCATGATGGTGGCTCCTTCTTCACAGTCACTTAACTGGGGCTGAGCATGGAGCATGGCCTCCAAAGCTACAGCCATTCAGTGAAATAACTAAACATTTGGTACACTGAACAGTAAAGTGCCAGTGAGAAAAGATGGAAAAGATTTGAAATTGTAATGATATTTATGGAAGAAATATGAACAGAGCTATCAGAGGTTATCAACTACACTGAAACGAGTGAACAGTGAATGCAGTCATTAAGCAGGTGCTGCCCCATGCTTTTGGCTGATGGTGTTTCCAAAATTTGTCAAATAAGTGTACTAAAAAACAATAATGTGTGTAAAACAGTCATTGAACTCTAAAATGTGTGTTGTCATGCCATAGTAAATTAAATTAGAAGCACACACAGATTGATACATACAGGTGATGTTGTGGTCCGCAGCGCAGCATAGCCACTATAGGCTGGAAGAAGGAGAGGATCATAACCAGACAACCCAACACTGGATGTGCTCCCTGGAAACCAACAGCATTAACACTGGTAATCATGATGATGTAAATATCAGTCTGACAGTGGAAACACGTAACTACAGAGAGTGTTTAAAGAATGTCAAGACAAATAAAAAATTAAAATGATACTTTGATTTTATAGAGATGCTGTTTTTAATAATTACCATTACTATTAAGAAGAGTTACTTAATAATATCTTCCAGTATGTTGGCTGTGCTTTTGATCTGTGTTGTATAGTATTGTTTAATGTTTAATTTACATCGCTTAAATTACTGTAAGGTGTAATTATCTCTGGTTGCAAAGGAGTTTTTAATGATAAGCAACTTTTTTAATGAAATTAAAAACACAGTGACAAACTGCATGATAACTCAGAGGACACAAGTCTGTGGGTCTTAAACGGTAAATGGATCAGTACTTATAAAGCACCTTCCTACTCACTTCCTTTTATGTGGTGTGAGGATGACTATTTACCCCAAGATCTGAAAGATGCCAGAATAGTGCAGCTGCACAAAGGCAAAGGTGAAGAGTCCTGTTGTGTCAACTATTAAGCAGGCAAGATCCTCTATAAGGTGATTTTAAAAAGGTTGAATACCTATCTTCAGAAGGGACACTACCAGAAAGCCAGTGCAGTTTCCCCCAGAGCAGAGGCACCGTTGACATAATGCTCGCCGCAAGATAGATCCAAAAGAAATGTAAGAAACACAATATGCATCTGTAAAACCTCTTTGTTAAGGTGTTCAACATTAGCGTCATGCCCACAATCTTGGGTATGACGCTATTTTCTGAACAGGAATCCCTCCCAAGATGTAAAAAGTAATCAGATTCTTTCATGATGGTGTAAACACAAGACTGGTCATTGGCTGAGATGATGATGAGTTTCCCATCACTCAAGTCAAGCAAGGATGCTCCAATACTCTTCAGCTTCCGTTTTAGATGTTGCTTCTCTCTGCTTTCAAAGACTTAAATACTGCCATCCAGATCACACACAAGACAGGTGGAGGTAAAATTAATGCTCAGCGCCTAAAGGCAAAGACAAAAGTCACTAGATCACTTTTTCATGACTTCCTCGACCCTGATTACTGTTCTGTAGTCAACAGCAAGCATGCCTGAAATAAAGATCAACAATAAGGTCCTTGGAAATTTTAACTCCATAACCGAACTTAGTTAGCTTACAAAGTATCGAGGTATCCAACAGCATTGCTAAGGAAAGTGCTTCCGATAGACTCCACAAGCAAGATTCTGAGATATGATTGTTCGGTTTTTCTCTGTATCTATTATTGTAGGATCTACTGTACAATATAAAGCGCCTTAAGGTGACTGTTGTTGTGATTTGGCGCTATATAAATAAAGTTGAAATGAATTGAATAGATCCTGAGGGTACACAAAAATAGTTCTATTTTGGACTTTATCAATCCTAATAGCCAGTCATATATATCCTTGGGTTGAGCATTTCCTAGTACTACCGTTGGTTATCCATGCACAAACACACTTAATGTGGGAGCCAAGTTAAGATAGTTCATATGTTTTAGTATTTATATTTCGCTGTTGTTAAGCGTGGTTGTGTAATTAATAATTTAAGAAGTAAATGCATGTTTATGGTGGAACTAGAATTATTTTATTGCTGTATTGGTTTGGTTACGTAGCACCATGAATACATGTGCCTTAAAGACTCGTGTTTATAGTAAAATCCGGGCATGACGGATGTATGCAAATTAGCGCATGCGGTGCGGGAGGGGGGGAGAGAGAAAAAGAGTTAACACGGCATAAGCTATACAGCAGCGGGGTAGAACAGAGCCACATGGTTTTCCTACCGTAGTAGGTTATTTTGTTGAGGATAAGTTAAACCTGACCACTCCTGTAAGATGCAAACTGTAGAATAAATTTTTTGTTACATCTTTTCACATCGGAGTCCCGTAAAGTTCTTTCTCCTCTTCAAATTGACGTGAGTGAAGCACGGGAAAACTGGTCTCATGACTTATACACTTAATTTTGCACTTTTATCTATGCCTAAGTGCTTTTGTAACATTCACAAACACACACACATACACACACACACGGTGCATCTCAAGGCTCAGTATCTTGTCCGTAGATTTACTAATTGCAGAACATTTTAAAGCTGGTATTAAAGGAGACTCAAATGTGGTGCAATAAAATCTGAAGGATATTTTGATTCATGTATCAAATAAACAATAATTTGTATTCAGTAATTCCAACCAAAACCTTTATGAACTTCGACACTAGGACCAAGTTCATATCATAAAAATCGTTATTTAGCCTACTGGCAAATAATAGTGTGTTACATAGGTAAAGCCAGTTTTGTTGTTCGATTGATCTGTAATTAAAAAAATATAAAACTGTAATAATTCTGATACTAGCAGAGTTAGTGTACCAACCCCAGACCAGTCCCGAGTATGAGCGAAAATGAGGATGAAAGCAATGATTGTGGCTGCTACCGTCAGAAGCATTACTCCAACATGGACCTGGAGGAACATAAAGAATACAACATGATATTAAGCCAGCCAAACATATACAAAATCAACAGTTCCCAAATAAGATTAAGCTTGGACCAACTGTCTTAAAAGTCTAACATATCTGACATATAATACTTAATATTTTCTTAGTATGTTTTTTTTTCTATGATGACTCACCACAAACCAGAGATCTTTGTTGCACATTGTTGTTCCCTTGGCCATTTTTTTCAGATATCGGGCAACCATCATTCCCAGTGTTCCCGTGGTCATCCAGGCAATCAGCATCAGTGACCCTGAAAAACAGTTTAGTTTTGGAGTTCTCTCCACTTCTCTTTGTTTTATGAGTTAAGATGAATTTCTTTCCCTGGTCCCAACATGTCTTTAGTCTATATATCGGTTTACTATGAAAAGAATTAAACCAACCGAGGCAAGCCATTAGGAGTACAACACAGAAATATTTTTATAGCTTTCAAACTGTATACAAACAATCGATTTTGATGGTGTACATTCGTACAATATGTTACAAATGATTGTTTTGCATGATGATAAGTCACTGTGTCATGAAAGAGGCAAGAGTTACTGCCAAGAAATATGCATCTAACTTGTAAAACCCAATCCACGTTTTTGGTCTATTTTGTCACGTCAAGGGATTAAACTGAATTTCCCGGCGGAACCAATCCAAGGAATTAATAAAGTTTCATCTAATCTAATGTAGTCTAGTCATTAAACGCTGTGAAATGCAACAGAAATGTAAGTCTACTTGGTATTATAGATAAAATAGTTTAATCTTAATGGAAGAAAAAATTCAATGTCTTCCCATGTTCCCAGTAGCATGTATCCTCGACTATTCACCGGTTAACACAGTGTACTAACTGTCAACTGGTTGGCCAAAGTAAATGAGAAAGGACTTTACATAGTGACTCTTTCACACAGAGACCTCTCTGTGCAGGATCTTACCATGAGCTTTGATGATATCAGGAAATCCCCTTTCACTGACAACAGGGGTAGAAATGTCCATCTTAGTAGTGCTGACGAAGTCGTGCTTATGGAATTGGATTTGTCCTGTAGGAAAGATATCGCAAAGCTTATACACAACTGTTTGTATATGTATAGCTATGTGTGTGTACACAGAATAAGCTGAATCAAAAAAAGAGTAACACGGCCAGGACGAATGAAGGAAAATAACCATCTGCTCTCTCAGTCGAGACGAAAAATTTGCTGCAGTTACTGAAAAAAACACATCCATAAGTGAAGTATTGAAAGGTGATGAAAGTGATTACATGGCCAAAGCATGAAACACATTATTTTAATGCTAATGGCTGAGTATTTCCAAAAGTTGATTCTGTTCATCTGGACGTAGTGTTTTGAGGGAGAAACGTTTCGTCATCATCCAGGTGTCTTCTTCAGTCTCAGCTGACTGCAGGTTTCCGCAATCTTATAAACAGCACATTTGCATAATGACTGAAACCAGCCCACTGAAGGAACAATGGGCTGGGAGGTCAGTGCCTTAATCATAATTCTGCAAATTCTCATGACCATTGATCAACAACCATGGCAACAACAACAACAACAACAACAATGGCTGAGTAAGTTTGAATCTGTAATCGAAAATTTAGATACATGCTGGTGTATGATTCCTTTATGATATTTTTATTTTTATTAAATTTTTTTGTTGTTTTACAAAAGAAAAACACTTTAGAAAGAAACTTTAACATAGACATGAAAAATATTCTTTTATATTTTTTTTCATAAACTGACCAGGGTTGTTAAACATGTGACTTCTTTTAAAATGTTCACACGATTGGAAAAGGAAGTACAATCAAAGGCCCTGCTTAACTGTTCAAAATAAAAGTATTTACTTGAGTATAATTTTGTTATTAGTACGTTTTTTCAGAGTGAAGTGCTTAAAGATTGCACATTTAAATAATCGCCTAAATTTTAAGAGTGATGGAACAGATCTTTCTTATTGGCGACAAACCCTCACCACCATGTAGCCTTGACATGAAGAGTTTGGACACTCTTTTTCATCCAATCACCTGCATGCATGTCTTGAGACATATGTGTTATTTTCTCTAAGTATATTGTGAAGTCCATAGTCTTCTTCATTGCATGCTATCTTCAATTTATTGATATGATTGGTTAAGTTAGATAAACTACACTGCTGTGGTGTAAGAAACAGTCTGGCACATGTAGTTACCATTGCTGCTGGGTCCGCAGACAAACATGAAGTAGTAGGATTGGCTGAAACCTGAAGTCCCCTGTATAGAAATTATCTCCGTAGTAGTGAAGGAACAACTGATGACATTGTTCTGCAATGACGTTGTTATATTATAAACGTTCCCCTGTAGGACACATAAGAAATTTCACAATTTTTAAGAGCAGAAACAAAGCATTATATCTAAACATTCTAGCCTTATATAAATCACTGATATCAGAAAAACTTCAGTACCAGAGCAACAACTTGTGGAGTTGTTCGTCCTGTTGAATACATATGTTGCACACCAACTTGTCCATTACTGTTCATTCCACAAACATAAATATCATCGTTTCCCTGAGGAAAGACAAATATAGTAAGGAATTAGCATGCTTATTATTTAATGATTAATTCTTGTGGGGGGAAAAAATCCAAACTTGTTGATATTGTTTGGGAAAACAAGGCAACCAGATGTTTTCAAAAAGTTGTGAACTTTCAAAAACAAACTGAAGTTGTAACAGCAGCTGTTCACCCACAGGTGCTGCTCATGTACAAGTATGCCAAGAGCCTTACTATTGTTATCTCTTAAAAAATGTAACAGTCATAGAATCAAGAACATTTTCATTACGCTACCATCTTCTGATCATCAGAGAATCCAAAAGCGATGTAGCCTTCATAAGGACCAGTCATCTCATACTGGACAGCTGTACCACCGGCTAACATCATGGCTGACATGAAATAACAGCTAGCACTGACTGCTGGGTCACAGTTTGAAGGCTGACTGAAGCACACTTTGGTGACGCCACAGTTAGCGCTAGAGATGGATGCAGCTGATTTCTGGACATACACAGAGGAAGAGAGAGAAATAAACCATGACATCATCATGTTGTACTTGAATATACCATTTAGCATTTTCTTTTCTCAGTTTGCATATATATTAACATTAAGCCAAGCTCAGTACTGCACATTACTGTTCTATAGTTCTGCTAACAAGCTATTTAGAAACTAGGTATAAATGGCTTGAGTACATAAGTACATCCATACTGTTTACAATCACCAACTAATCTAACAAGTATATCATCCACAGAGGCACAGTTAGAACACGCAGAGTTCCTGTGTCAATGACAGTACTAACCGTTAACCACTATGTTGGCCCTAACATCAACCTCTGAGGTTTTTGCCTATTTTCCCAATTGGGAAATTTTGTGCAAGACCAAAATGCATGTGTGAGACTTCGCTTGAAAAATCTCTCTCACAGTTGAGAGAAAACCAAACACTAACGTGATAGATATTAAGAGTTAACAAAAACAGTCAAATCTTAAACAAAAAAGAAAATTCTGATTTTGAGAAAACACCTATTGTATGAAAGCGCCCTAGCTCAATGGGCCATGCTAACTCTGGGCTCTCAAGAAAAGCTCTAGAAATTCAAGAGTGTATGACAAACGTGATGCAGATTTCTAAAAATTCAGGTTTACGCATAAACTACATAAACAGCAGTGTTGCTAGACTGACTTTTTCATCTTTTATATTTGTCCATCAAAGCCAGAATATTTATTGCTTTCCATTTAGTGTGTCTGTGCTAGATAGAGCAGTGTACACCCATCTCCTGATCCACAGTCAGCCCCAGTATAAGATGTGCCACAGAATATAAAAGATGGTAGACTGCCATCAGCCTCAAAACCAACGGATACTTTCAAATCAGTTAAACTGGCCAATGATTCAACCAGCTTGTTTGGTAGTGAATTTCATATTGTGTTCAAAACAGACATTGTTACTTACAACAAGTGGTGCAGGGTCTGTACTGCCATTCCCAGTGAGGGCACCTGCAGATCTAGCAGCTCTGCCATTAGTGAAGGTCAGGACAGGGCTCATCACATTAACCCAAAATGTTGTAGAATTCTGCACAAAGGATGCACTGCAGCGACACCAAAACCAGTGTGAACTGGGGTATAAACACTTAGTCAAAGTGCTTTGCTAGAATGAATGAACTTTACCGGAACTGAACAGCTTTGATGTCTCCTGATGGTTCTGATCTCCATGTCACCTGAATGTAGCTGCTATTAAAGCCTGATGTGTGGGACACAGCTGAGCTCTGGACACAAAAACATGAGAGACTATGACATTATTATGTTGTTTGAATGTACTGTATATCATCCGTTTTCGTTATTTGACATGTTTATACTGTTTCAGTCACTGTTATACATAGTTAAAGTTACCAAAGGAAAGCAAATCAAATGATGTGCTGTGAAACAATATTGCAATATAATTTTAATTATGCACCTTGCAGCTTGTCACTAAAACTATGTATTAACTTTGTATAGGTAGGTCTAAGATTTGCTCTATTGCACATGTTCACATTGTTTTCTTTAGTATTTGCGTCAGAAAAAAACCAGACTGTCTTTTTCAGTAATATACTGAATACATTAAATGTTTTCATTTTACTTCATTGATTGATATGCCCTTCAGTAGACTTAAGGTATAACATATGATCATGCATGATGCTCACATTAACATGAAAGGAAACTCACAGGTCTTTGGCTGCAGGTGAGGACTTTAGCAGCCCCTGCTGGTGTGGCAAAGGAACCCACAGGAGTCTCACTTCCCACTTCTATAGCCTCCAACAGGAAACCTGTGAATGGTGTGGAGGCCGGGCCCTGTAGCTCAACTTGGAATCACAGAAAAACATTTTATTCAGTCAGTTGGACAGTTCTCAACTGGGCCGCTTCTAGACAGGCATATATGAGGGGCCAGACAGAAATGTAAAGGGGGCAAATGGTGGCAACGGAGGCAGGAAAGTGGTGGGGTGTGGTGGGTTGGATCTGGGTCTGGATAACAATTTTTGTCATGTAATTGGATTGCACTTCTTCCCTAAGACCTGACCAATGACCAGTATCCCACCTGAACGCTAAGCTTCTGCTGGTCTAGCTCTTAGGGTCACCGAGGCATGCAAACCCCCTGACCACGTTAAGGTGGCAATCCCTAAGGGGGAAACACTGAGGAATAAAACCACCAAAATTGAAATAAAATCTTCCTCATCAGATTATAGCAACTAAAACATGACATTTACCTTAATTGGATGGCCTTTATTAATTATAACAATTGCCAATATTAACAAAACTAACTAGGTAGGCCAAATTATTATTTAAAAAAAAAAAAAAGGTAGTTCACCAATCTTAAGAAATAAAACCGAAAAATAGAATAAAAATTAAAAGAATAAAATTAAGTATCCGTCCAACTCTTTACAGCCAACATGGAATGTATCTTAATTGAATGACCTGATTCTCAAATAAATTTGCAAAATAAAGCAAGAATAAAATAAGACCTCTCACTATAGCGAATATTTACAAAACTTAAACTGGATGGATGGATGGATGGATGGATGGATGGATGGATAGATGGATAGATAGATGGATAGATATCTATCTCCAAGTTATTTCTTATGGACTTCTCATGAGCCAAAATCACTAAATTCCTCTTTCTTCTATGTAACAGAAATGAACACGCTTTGCTAAAATCGTTGTGATTACATCAGTATATGAAACGAGGAAACGGCTTGTTCATTTTTGTTACATGTGGTGTCTGACAGACACAGATCCTCCAGTCTGCTCTATGCAGCAGACAGGCTCACAGAAAAAAACT